GCAGTGGTATTCAACCTGGGGTACGCGAAGACATCTCAGGGTGTACATGAAATTTAAAAAAAAAAAAATTATTTTATGATAAACACTGAATAATCAGTAATGTAATTTATTTAATTTATTTTAGATGTAGATTATATACTATGTATAACTTGAATTATACACCAACAACTTTGGGGGGTACAAAATCGAAGAGAAATTATATCTGGGGGTACGCGAACGAAAAAGGTTGAATACCACTGACTTGGACTACAGCTTGTAAATGTGTGTTATATTAATTTTTTAGGCTCCCGCTTAATAAGTTTAATGTACAATGTTAACAGTAACGGAGCACATTAACCTCGTAATTAACGCATGAAATGTAATGCATTGCAGGAACCAAACACCGAATTATTCTTACTTATTAATTGTTTTGTATACTTTATTATCTACATTATTTTTAGATCGCAGACGGGAAACCAAATTACGCGCATTTTGTAGTCTTTTGCCGTCGTTTCTTGTATTTAAACTTTTCCGCGTTTGTTGTAAGTACCAAGTGTACGACATTTTGCGTCAAATCGCTTGCAATGAAACAGCGGTGGACGTGATCCTGGCGGTCACGAGGCAGACGAGACGGAAGGGATCTGACGTACTTCATGTGCAGTAAGAGTGGCGTGAAATGTCTGCACCAAGATGGCGTCTTTCCATCTTGTTAATGGTTATTCGGATGTTTCTGTTTCAGGTTTCAGAAAGCAGTTTAATATGATGTTCCCCAAGTGGAGCTAGACAGGGGCATGGAGAACATCTGTACCATCACTCTGGCAACCAAGAAGACGCTCGCTACCACCATCATGATATGGAAGAACAGGATTGCTATGTATCGGTAAGTATTTCGTCGAGTTTCTCGATCTTCCGTTGGCGTTGACTACCTCATGTTAATTACAGTGTAATTAGACGACGTATTTCTAGTATAAATTGTGTTAAGTTTTGACAAATTGTTGAAATGGTGGTTAGAAATTATACGAGGTGCGATCGGCAAGTTTCAAGACTGTGTCAATAGAGTGCGAACCGGATGTAGTACGAGCTTCTGCCGCTAGGAGTTGCGGCCTACATTCATAGTGAATCAGTGTGCCAGCCGGCATCATCGAATTAGCATTTGTTTCTTAGTTACGGGCGTTTTGGTAGTGCATTTTACCGACCCTCCTGCGATTTCGGAATGGCGTGTGCATCAAATTTTGCCAAAGACTCGCCAAAACGGCTACCGGAACCTATGAAATGCTAAAGCCAGCATTTGGGGAGTCCGCAATGGGTCGTGCACAAACTTTTGTGTGGCATTCACGTTTTAAAAATGGCCGAACCTCTGTCGATGATGACGAGCGTTCTGGACGACCATCTTCGAGCACAACGCCCGAAACTGTTACGAAGATCGACGTCGTACCATCAACGACTTGTGCGACATTTTTGGGATAGGCTATGGGACCTGTCAGCTGATTCTAAAGGAAGAACTCCACATGCGACGCAAGGCTCCTGTCTGAGGACCAGAAGCAGAATCGACTTCTCGTTTGTCAGGAGTTTAAAGATCTTGCAAGAACCGACCCCAACTTCCTTTTTAAGCTCCGTGTGACTTCTTCCTCTTCTCAAAGATGAAAATTCAGCTAAAGGGAAGGAGATTTGAGACGATAGAAGAGATTCAGGCAGAATCGCAGATGGTGCTTGACAGGCTGACAAAGAAAGATTTCCAGGGATGCTTCCAGGCTTGGCAGCGGCGCTGGGATAGTTGTGTTCACTCCCAGGGGAACTACTTCGAGGGTGATGGATGAATTTAATACCTGAGATAAGTGTACGGGTTTTTATACGCGCAGTCTTGAAACTTTCCGATCGCACCTCGTATTGGGAATAGGACGGCGCAAACTCTAATAAGACATAGCAAAGTCCCGCCACAGTGTTGATAGATGAGCCAAAGGTTATTTGCGTGAAACAGTTGCTCGGACATCCATTTAAAAATATTGGAATGACGAGCTCAGAATTTACATAGTGATATCCACACCTAAACTGACCAACATGTATTTGCGTGGCACATGTCATTTGCTTCTGACGGACGGCGGGTTGTCAACTGCTGTAAGGTATATTTGTGTAAACTCTGTCACGTTCATTTTACGCGTTCTGCAAACTGTATATATTACTTAAAATTTTACTGGATAATTTTGATTCTACTCTTGATTTTTGAAGTTCTGTGAAGTTTACAATTAGGTAAGTTTTAAACTCTCCAGGAAGATCGTTACAAACTTCTTTCCCGACATCATTATTTCTTCAGTACAGAATCTTTTTATTGGTGTAACATGCAGAGGAATTACAAATAGGCTCTCCCTTAACCTTTCTGTACAAAGACACGGAGTACATGCAAAGTTTTTGCGAGACATAAATTGCATTACTGTTATGCACGAGTTAAATTTCCATTTACCATAACAACCTCCACTCTTTACTCTTCAACAGAACTTTTCAAACATTCATGACCTGGGGCCACAAACTTTGTAACTCACGGACCACAGAATTACAAAAACAGTATACAAAAACTTCATATCAATTCATTAAAGACCCTATACACATATTAGTCCATAATTTTAATCAATATATTTATCCAGTTGTTATTTTCATTTACTGCTCAGTTAAAATTAAACATAAGCCAGTTTCCGAAACGTCGTGGTTTCTTCTTTTTAAACAAAGACGATGGGAAAATTCCAAGTCTAATCCACCATCATCAGAACCCTTTAGAGTCGAATATTCCACATGACTTTCTACGTGTGAATCGATAAACCAACTACTGGAGAATTTAATTCATATAAAACAAGATATTCATTGCTAACAAACGTTACAGCGTGAGTCCTGATGATTTAATAAAAAAAATTGATACAAAAGACTCGTGTAGTTACATCGATTGAAGACAAGAAGAACTGTGTAATGATTCCTGGGTGCAAGAATCTAGTTGTAGACCCCTGACCAAGAATCTGATACTCCACCAGACGAACAGACCGCAACTCCACCAAATGTCTAATGCAATGGACGTCAACCAAAGAGAAGTGCCTTCATTCTTCTGAACACTCGACGTGGATTTTCCAAAAAAAAAAAAAAAGATATAAATCAAGTTTATGGGACGGAACTTCGTTCACATCTCGAACATGCAATGCGTAAAGCAACTGTCATTTCCTGGCTCCCGGCAGGACCTGCTACACACATAATCTGGTTTCAATGTTTCACTGACTGACACGTAACTCGTATCACGAAAACCTAGCAACGCTTGGCGGTCAGCCATGCAGTTCCTGCCTGGGGAGGATACGTTACAGTTGCGTTAAACTTTATCAGTAAACGTACTGCACTTGTGACTTTTTTACATCACGTAATCAAGAGGAACAGCTCATTAGAATTAAGGTCTATTTATGTAGGAACGTAAAGATAACGACACGAGCCCTTACCGATTTTTCAGAAAATATTATTCAACGTTTTTCAATGGAACTGTTTAGGAAAAATATCGTTGGAGACGTAAGTTGGGCGAGACTCGTTCGTGGAACGGACGAGCTCGGAGTCAATATAAACAGTTCCATTAAAAAACGTTGAATAATGTTTTCTGAAAAATCGGCAAGGGCTCGTGTCGTTATCTTTACGTTCCTATATAAATAGACCCTTACTGTTATGATGTCGCATGAGACCGAGTCTGCACCAAACCGACTGCACGTGTTTA